AATGGGGTCAATGGGGACACCGTGGGGTCAGTGGGGACACCGTGGGGTCAATGGGGACCCCCCAGGGTAACTGGGACCCCCCTCCCCAGTGCAGAACAAACCCCCAGCAGGACGAGGACCCCTCCCCAGTGGAAAATAAAGAAGAGCCGTCCCCCCCCCAGTGTCCCCCAGCCTCACCAGTCTGCCAGGACGGGGTGCGGAACTGGGACAGCAGGGACGAGGCCGAGGGGCCGGGCTGGGGTCCCCGCGACTCCAGCGCCGAGATCAGGTTCATGACGGACGTGTCGGGGGCCGCGCCCCCCGCGTGGTGCAGCCCCGTCTCGAAGAGCCCCGACAGCCCTGGGGACATTGGGGACACCGTGGGGACACTGCGGGGACACCTCAGGGACATTGGGGACAGCTTGGGGACACTGCGGGGACAGCTTGGGGACAGCCTGGGGACATTGGGGACACCGTGGGGACACTGCAGGGACACCTCAGGGACATTGGGGACAGCTTGGGGACACTGCGGGGACAGCTTGGGGACATTGGGGACACCGCGGGGACACTGCGGGGACACTGCGGGGACACCGTGGGGACACTGCAGGGACACTGCAGGGACAGCCTGGGGACACTGCGGGGACAGCTTGGGGACACCTTGGGGACACTGTGGGGACACCTTGGGGACACTGTGGGGATACTTCCACGTGTATAAAATGGCCCTGACAGCTTGGGGGACACCTTGGGGACACCGCAGGGACAGCTTGGGGACATCCTGAGGACCTCGCAGCCGTGACCCGCCCAGCTTGGGGTGAGCCCCATGTCTAAAACAGCCCTGACAGCTTTGGGGACACCTTGGGGACACCTCGGGGACACCCTGGGGACACCTTAGGGACACTGCAGGGACACTGCAGGGACAGCTTGAGGACACTGGGGACACCTTGGGGACACCGTGGCCATGACCAGCCCAGCTTGGGGTGAGCCCCATGTCTAAAACAGCCCTGACAGCTTTGGGGACACCTTGGGGACATTGGGGACACCACAAGGAGAACCCAGGGACTTTGGGGCTGTGGTGGCCAAGGGCCGCTGAGGCAACGCGAGGTCAGGGTGACAAAGTGCCACAGGGTCGGGGTGACACGGGGACACGGGGACACGGGGACAAAGGGCTGGATGTGACAAAAATGGGGAGGAAGGAAGAAAAAAGGCGGGAAACGTGAGGGGAGAAAGGTCCCAGGTGACACAGGGACCTGGGGTCAGGGTGACACAGGTGTCCCTGGATGGCTGTGGGGTGACAGGGGGTGGCAGCAGGTGGCAGTAGATGGCAGGAGGTGACAGCAGGTGGCAGGAGGTGACAGCAGGAGACAGGGGTTGGCAGCAGGTGACAGGGATTGGCGGTAGGTGACAGGAGGTGACAGTAAGTGACAGTAGGTGACCGGGGGTGACGGGGGTGACAGCAGGTGACAGAGGGTGACAGGGCGTGGCAGCAGGTGGCGGGGGGTGACCGCAGGTGGCCGCAAGTGACAGGGGGTGACAGCGGGTGGCAGGGGGTGACAGCAGATGACAGCAGGTGACAGCGGGTGACCGGGGGTGACAGGGGTTGGCAGCAGGTGGCAGGGATTGGTGGTAGGTGACAGGGGGTGACAGGGGGTGACAGCAGGTGACAGCAGGTGACAGGGGATGACAGCAGGTGGCAGCAGGTGACAGCGGGTGACAGGGGGTGACAGCAGGTGACAGCGGGTGACAGGGGGTGACAGGGGGTGACAGCAGGTGACAGCGGGTAACAGGGGGTGACAGGGGGTGGCAGCAGGTGGCAGCAGGTGACAGGGGGTGACAGCAGGTGGCAGCAGGTGACAGCGGGTGACAGCAGGTGGCAGCGGGTGACAGGGGGTGACACCAGGTGGCAGCAGGTGGCAGCAGGTGGCAGCAGGTGACAGCAGGTGGCAGCAGGTGACAGTGGGTGACAGGGGGTGACCGCAGGTGACAGGGGGTGACAGCAGGTGACAGCAGGTGGCAGCAGGTGACAGTGGGTGACAGGGGGTGACCGCAGGTGACAGGGGGTGACAGGGGGTGACAGCAGGTGGCAGCAGGTGGCAGCGGGGCCGTACCTGGCGGGTGGTGGTTGGCCGCATAGCCCTGCAGCGGGTGTGGCGCTCCGTAGGGCTGCCGGTGCAGCAGGTCGGGGTCGGGGTGTGACCCCCGCGAGCCCCCGTACACCAGGCTGGGGACAGGGGACAGCGGTGTCACACCATGGGCACACCATTGACACACCATTGACACACGG